CGTTGCTTTGAGACTAAGGTGTGTCCAAGTCGTAGCCCAACGATGCTAGTGCGGCATTATCATTGTTATTAGGTTACAGACCTTTGGTATAGGTCAACGATGCTACAGAGATCCTTCCTGTGTCGTGCATATCTTCATTATGCTGCTGCAGGGCGTTGGAGTGAGATCGGCGCTGGTGGATCTTACTTGGAAAGTGATGAGCCTCTTGTCGTCATGTGGGCACGCAAGTCCTAGTTTCTATAGCAGCCTACATGTTGGCTTCGCGACGGGGATGGAACCCTTGAGGATGTGATGAGTAGGTATTGTGTATGCCACCTCGTCGTCGGCAACCCCCCAGGAGGGCAGCAAAGAGAGCTGCTAGCAACCCTCCAGAGGGAGATGAGGCAGCACCTCCTATACGAGTAGAGGAGCCCGCCTCATCAACAGAGGAAGTTCATTCTTCAACGTCCTCCTCGGGGCCCCAAAGGGCACCTACTGCGAAGGTACAGGATACTGATCATACTCATGATGAGGCTATCCAACCTCATGTCAATACTGAAGATGAAGTAGGCAGTACTATTCTCTGCTCATCGAGGTTGTTGTAGCCTTGCTGTCAGGATGAGGATCTAACTCCTCTCCAAGTCGCTAAGGACATCCTGTTAGAGCTTGATAAGTGTCTGCATGAGTCCGCTACACTGGCCAACGTCAAGCGGCTGTATGTATCCCGTTAGCCGGTACACTAGCGTGCTTAGTGTATCCCTCGATAGGTATAAGCTACGGCATCATCTTAGGAATATTCAATGGGAACTAGCAGAGACTACCCAGGTTGCGTATGATGCTGTAGTATATGCCCACTCTATGGGAGTAGGGCGAGGACCCACCTGCTTAGGAGCCTGCGAATCAGGAGGAGATAATGGTCGTGAGGCAACTGTATAAGAAACTAGAGAAGTGCATCTGTGGGAGGATTTTCCACAGGAATGATCACGGTATGTATCGATCGCTGTTGGCGGTACTGTCAGTATTAGGTTGGCTTTAGGTATAGCCTTTGTAGCTAGTGTATTGACTATGCACCCAGCCTTTATTGTTGATGCTTTTGCTGCTATCAAATTGTTCATCCCACAACTACCTAGCTCTGTTCTCCTGGGTCTGTCAAAGGTAACGTGATGATAGTCGATACTATTGAGAAGCTTCGGATGGTCTACAGGCCCTGTATAGAGGTTGGAAGGAATCCTCAGGAGCTATGAAGAGGCATATAGAGCAGGCTATACAGGCATGGATGGATTATTCACTTAAGGTTGATCCTGTATTAGCGAAGAAGGTGATAGGAGATCTCCTCCTTCATCATCGTGATTATATGAATAACAAGATACGCATCTTACTGAGCGAATTTCATCGTAAGGACAGACGGCCAACCGAGCTTGAGAATCTACTTGTGGAGCTTTACCAGCCTATACTATGGAAGCAGCTTACAGTCACCAACTGGAAGGTAGGCATTCTCCTGTTATCATAGTCTAGTTGCTCATCGATGTAGATCCGCCTTAATGCTATAGCTACTCTTGGGGATGCATTTCCTATATGCAACTCAACCTCTCATGCCGATATGGAGCGGACAATGGACATGCAAATTCGAGCTTTAGTCAGCGGTATGACGGACAAGCACGACCAAGTAACTGGGCTTGTGTACGGTTTCTTTTGGAGTGGCTGGATTCAGGTACGCCGTATAGCAGTTACTAAGGTCTGTGAATCTCTGGCCATACAGTGGAGCGTCATATCGACAGATTACCGCTCTGTGTTACTTTATAATGTTATTAATAAATGTGCTAAGGATAAGAGGAGTGCAGCAGTGAGAATGGCAGTAGTACAAGGGATGAGGAGGATAATAAGAACCTGCGCCATATCTCATCAAGTAATGTGCGGTAGCATTTCATAGTAGTGCTCACAGTTAGCGGTAGATAATGGGTCCAGTGTTACCCAAGATCGGTGAGATGATATACGATCCCTCGCCTCAGGTTAGATTAGAGTAGTAGCCACCTTGCTCCCATCTCTGTTGCTACTGCATGTGGATAGGTATTGCAAGCTGCTGGGCGACGTTCAGAACGTCGATGGTATCAACATCTCAGAAGTGGTAGAGGGTAATCAAACACTAGCAAACCGTCTTGTGATAGAGCATGCGTACGCAATGAGGAAGAAGGAGAAGTTTACTCAACAGTAGCCATCATGCAGGAGGCAACCTACTGTGGGTATTGGTACGCTCAGGGATGTAAAGCAGGCTGAGCAGGAGAGGGATGTACACACACAGATAGCTTGTAGTCTAGGGGCAATACTAGGCCAGAATATATTCAGGGGCATGGATGTTAAGGTGATATCTTACTACCAATACCACTCCTCCGCCGCATCATACTTCATGTTGCTGTTATTGTTGCTCAGGCTCTCAAGCAAGTAGCCAAAGCTAACGTCAATATATTCATAGCGTTGATGGCCAACTGTCGTGAGGCTGAAGGCGCTACACCTACTGCTAGGATAAGGTTCGCAGCGGCCCTCTTCAAATGTGAGCTTCCTTCTCCTCCTCTTGTGGTATCAATCACATGCTACAATTAATATCAATGTAGATGCTATGGATATCGTAACAAACGAGGGTGAGCGTCATGAGTCCCTTGTGGAGGCAGCTGCT